TTTGAATTTGAAGGTGCTTTGTGTTGTAAGGAAAAGACCAACAAAACGCACACAGGAAAGACAAATAAAAATATGTCACACTGGCTTAAACGGGATCACAGGTCTGTTTTTCATAAGCCACCTTGAGATGTGCCTTCAAATTGGACATATGGAATTTTTCTTTATTAGTACGCTATATTAGTATTTGCTTCCCTTCAGTGACAGCAATTTGTCCAACTGTGGTTCACCTCCAAAGCCGTTCCCAGTCCCTTCTAGCCATGTCCCTGGGTCCAATCTCACAGTCACTCTTTGGTTTAATAGATTCGTTTAGAGGAGTGCAGGAGTTCATGCAACCTTATTTACAAAACAGGCATCTCAGAGCTCCAAAGCTCAACATTGTTTTTTATTTAGGGGGTTGAGCTAGACTCTGATATAGAGTGATATTGAGTTAAAAATACTTTACAACTCATTTACAATGTAAAGCTCCTTACCTTGCAGGGCTACACCGTAATGCATCATCTCTACTGGTGATTTTGTAAACATATACGATCATTTTAATCATTTGTGCTTAACGTGACACTGAGACAATCTTATTTAAGTCTTGTTAAACATTACAGTTAGCATTCAGAAGGTGAACTGTGTTTGTGTCCTTTCAGTGTTCAGAGGGTCCTGTTTTGCTTGGTCACTGCTCCAAAACCATTATGTCATTGTTCCCCGAGTCACCTGCCAGGGAGTCGCACCAGGCGGCAGCATCAAGCCTGTGTTGGTTCGCCCTAAAATAAAGTGCATTTTGATGCATCGCATTTAAGACACATTGATCACAACTAGCTTAAAATGTGTATAAAAGCTTTTAATATAGCTCTGTGAATTCAGTGTATTGACCGGCGCACAAGGAAACTTAAATCCACATATTTCTAAATGGAGTTCGGCGACGGTTGGTTTCTCTAAACGTCCCAGATCCAGTTACCGCTGGTTACAGCAACGACATTTAAATGGAATGATAAATATTCAATGCGAGCCCTGCTCGGCACCCTGCTAATTACCCCAGATGGCTAACGGCTAAGCTAACCGGTAAACTCGTGTTGTCAGTGTCTTTAATCCAAACTCTGTTGGTTTTGTACCCCAGATCGTGCAAACCACAGGGCACAATAAAAGTCTATAAACAACGTAAGTGAAAACTGTATTTCACTGGATTTTGGGGGACCAAAACTATACGTTAGAAGAAGAAAAGCAAACCCAGTCAGTCCAAATTGACATGATTCTGCCGAATTGACTTCCTTACACAACACACGTCACCGTGACGCGTTGCATTCTGGTAAATGCAGTTAACCTAGGTTTAAGGTTGTGAATGTACATGACTTAACCCGACATACGCGTTTTACTGTTTGAGTTTCTCGCGTTTCCAGCTAATGTTCGAACAGGGAAAAGATAAAAATGCAGTCATTTTGATGCTGGTGCGTAATTGTTTAAACGTAGTTGAAGAGAAAAAAACTACAAATCCCAGTAACTGACGTCATTACGTATGTACGTCTAGCAACGGCGAACAGCTAAAGGAAAAAACAGCCGCTTCCGTGTTGTTCTTGTGTTATTTTGTGAAATAACTGTCGTTAGCGGAGTCAAAGCTCGCCTGACAGCCTCGCCGGAGTGTGAATATCATGGTTTTGTGAAGCTGACACACAGCGTCAGCCTTTTTTCAGCCAAAATGTCGCTGCTGCAGAGCTCAAAGAAAAAAGACAAGCGTATTTTGTCTGGTACCTGCCCAGACCCGAAATGTCAGGCGAGGCTTTTCTTTCCTGCTTACGGCTCCGTTAGCATCGAGTGTACCGAGTGTGGTCAGCGCCATGAACAGAAGAACCTGCAGAACGTTGAGGAAGTCACCGACCCCGATGTCGTGCTTCACAATCTGCTCAGAAACGCCCTGCTCGGCGTCACCGGGGCCCCGAAGAAGGGGACCGAGCTGGTGAAAGTGATGGGGCTTTCTAACTACCACTGCAAGCTGTTGTCGCCCGTGCTCACCAGGTATGGCATGGACAAACAAACCGGCAAAGCCAAGCTTCTGAGGGAGATGAACCAGGGGGAGATGTTTGACTGTTCCATCCTGGGAGACAGAGCTTTTCTCATTGAGCCGGACCATGTTTCCACCATAGGCTATGGCAAAGATAGGTCAGGCAGCCTTATATACCTCCACGACACTCTGGAGGAGGTGAAGAAAGCCAACGGCAACAGAGAGTGTCTCATCCCGGTGCATGTGGACGGAGACGGGCACTGCCTGGTCCACGCTGTGTCCAGAGCTCTGGTGGGGAGAGAACTGTTCTGGCATGCCCTCCGTGAAAACCTCAAACAGAACTTCAAGCAGAATCTGGAACGCTACAAGGCACTTTTTCAGGACTTTATAGATGCAGCAGAGTGGGAGGACATCATCAACGAGTGCGACCCTCTTTTCATCCCACCAGAAGGCGTACCCCTTGGACTACGCAACATCCACATATTTGGCTTAGCCAACGTCCTCCACCGACCCATAATTCTCCTGGACTCCCTGAGTGGGATGAGGAGCTCCGGGGACTATTCTGCCACCTTCCTGCCTGGACTGGTGCCGGAGGAGCAGTGCAAGGGGAAAGATGGGAAGCTGAACAAACCCATCTGTATTGCCTGGAGCAGCTCCAGCAGGAACCACTACATCCCTCTGGTGGGAATCAAGAACACGGTGCTGCCAAAGCTGCCACCCCGTCTGCTGCCAAAGGCCTGGGGCGTCCCTCAGGAGCTCATCAAGAAGTACATCAAGTTAGAAGCGGATGGGAGCTGCGTGATTGGCGGAGATCGCAGCCTGCAGGATAAATATCTGATGAGGTTAGTTAACGCCATGGAGGAGGTATTTATGGAGAAGCACAGCATCCACCCGTCGCTGGTGGCTGACGTGCACCAGTACGTCTACAGGAGGACTGGCGTGATTGGCATCCATCCAGAGGAGGTCACAGAGGCGGCAAAGAAGTCGGTGATGGAAAATCGGCTGCATCGCTGCCTGATCTGTGGCGCCCTTTCTGAGCTGCACATCCCACCGGAGTGGCTGATTCCCGGCGGTAAGCTCTACAACTTAGCCAAATCCACGCACGGCCAGCTGCGGCCGGATAAGAACTACAGTTTCCCCCTCAACAATGTGGTCTGCTCTTACGACCCCCAAAGGGATGTTCTCCTCCCAGACTACAAACTGAGCTCCCTCAACACCTGCAACTGGTGTCACGGCACGTCAGTCCGCCATATCCGTGGAAACGGCTCGGTGGTTTATCTGGATGGGGACAGAACCAACACCCGCTCCCAGGGAGGGAAGTGTGGGTGTGGCTTCAAACACTACTGGGAGGGGAAGGAGTATGACAACCTCCCCGAGGCCTTCCCCATCACGTTGGAGTGGGGGGGTCGGGTGGTGCGAGAGACAGTGTACTGGTTCCAGTATGAGACTGACCCTTCGTTGAACAGCAACGTGTACGACGTGGCCATGAAGCTCGTCACAAAGCACTTCCCGGGCGAGTTTGGCAGCGAGATCCTGGTGCAGAAAGTGGTCAACACTATCCTCCATCACACGGCCAAGAAGAACCCGGACGAATACAACCCCGTGTCCATCGACGGGGCTCATGTCCAGCGCCTCACTGATGCCCCCGAGTCTCAGCCGCCGGCGGACCCCCAGCCGCCCACAAAGATCATCCTGACGGGACAGAAAGCGAAGACGTTGCACAAGGAGGAGCTAACGATGAGCCGAGCAGAGCGCAGCATCCAGCAGAGCATCAGCGAGCAGGCCTTCGTCACCCAGAAGCGCCGGACTGACAAACTGAAGCAGGAGCAGAAAGGCCAGGGCCGGACTTCTTCACCCGGAGGCTCTCCAGAAACCTCCTCCTCCTCAGCTCCAGCCACACCCACCAAGTCCTCCTCCCCGTCTTCGTCCAGTAAGGAGAAAAAGATTCGTGTGACTACGAGCGACGGCAGACAGGCCATGCTGACTCTGCAGGCCCACACGACCTTCTCTGAGCTGCAGAGGAGCATCAGCAACCAGTTCAGCGTGCCGCCGGCGCAGCAATGCATCCGCTACGGTTTCCCACCTAAGGAGTTGGTCCCACCAAAAGATGGTGAGGAAAACGAGCCAGTGGCGCTGCAGCATGGTGACAGGGTGACTGTGGAGATCCTTAAAGGCCCAGAGGACAAGAGCCCTGCGGCCTCCATTCCCCGAGCCTCCAGCTCGCACTCCGCCCTGCATTCAGTGAAGAGCGAGGACGCCGTGACGCCCGGAAGAATGAGCAGCCGGGAACTCCAGGACAGCATCGACCTTGAGATGTCCTCCCTCTGTCTCCTAGCAACGTTGATGGGTAAGGTTACATGTAGGGTACCAAGTAAGTTAGTGAGTGAAGCAAAGTAATGTATTATCACAGCAACCTGTGCCACAAGCCTGAACGTGACAGGAAGTGGACGTTTAGGATGTTTCAGAGAATAAGATCCATCCTGATACAAAGCAGAGCAAAAGATCTTTGGTCGCACAGCTTACCCGTACCGTACGGCCTTCTGAAGCCACATAAAAACAAGCTGTGTCACTTTGAGATGTCACTAGAGGAAAGTTATTGTGCTGTAGCTGCAGCTTCTTTTCACTTTAAAGATGCTGTGAATCCTGACTTCTTTGCTGATGTGTGGATTCGAATATCACAGCCGAGACGCTGATTACGTTCTTTGAAATCCGTGATCGTCTCCGTTTTCAGCAGATAGCGGGCCTGTCTTGAAATCGTCTGCTTTATTAAATGAAATCCACGCTGGATTAAATTTTGCAAAGGGCCAGATTTGATCCTCAGGCTTTGATTTTGTCACATTTGATCTAAGATATAGAAGCTTGTTGGTCTGATTGAAGGCTGCCAGGAGAAAACTATTTTTGTACTATTATTGTTCTGCATTGAGGAGCTAAAACCCGCTCGTCAGGTTTAACAGAGCCAAGTGACTGCTGCTACTTTCTTATTTTAATAAT